AAACCCACCCCTCCAACAAGTCACCAGAGCATATCCCATTAAACCATCTCCTCCTGAGATGCCAAATCAAAACCCAACAGGACTAGACATTTCTCAGTGTCCAAGATGGTCATTATAAGACTTGTGTTGATAAAGAATGTTATATATAAAGGATTTTCTCTGAAGAGGCATCCGTCTTCCCTGATGAACGTGATCCACTGCTTTTTGTGTCGTGTTTTATTTGGGTCTTGGCTCATCAGCCACCTCTTCACTGCCACTAATTAGGCTTGTGAAGCAGCACCCAAGAATGAGTGCAATGCAAATTAAAAGGACAAATTGATACATACAGCCATATAGAACAAAACCTACTCCTGAATTCAGCTCATGGACCCACACTTGGTCAAATCCAGCTCCCTCCTTACAGATGCTCTTTTCTTTTTCATGAACACCAAGCCTGAGTTTGTGGCAGCCAACATTTGTGCAGACTGGAAAGATGGCACCACTCCAGTGAAATCCAAACACACACAGGTGTACAAACTGTGCACCACTAAAGCAGGGCTCATAATAACTTGCATTTCTGTCACCATGAGCTGAACTAGAAAAGCTGTCCAGCCAAAGGCCAGGGCTGGTGTGAGAGGGTTTCACACAAACTACTCAGCCAACTTCCTTCAGATCAGGTTAAAAGTCATCTGTTATCTGTAGAAACGGGATGGGATGGGGAAAATGATGTCTTAAGATCTCTTTAGCCTTTCCTCCCCACCTACAAGGGTGGTGTGCAGGCTGGTGCTCTGAGGGTTGGGATCAGGACAGCAGTTCCTTCCCAGCTGATGTCTTTGCTCCAGCTCCGAAGCTGATTCCCACCAGCAGCAAAGAGCCATTTTGCAGTAGTTTTGCCATTAACGATCCCAAACAAGATCTGAACTCCAGGCACAGTGGTCTAGGATTTCTCTAATATTCACCAGCAACGGAAGACAAGCAGAATCAGCTTCTGATACCCAACAGACACTCCAAAACTAAAAGAAATTTTCCAGAACAAAAGCAACAGCAGCCTGCGATGCAATTCCCGGTGGGAAAGGCAAGCGCCAGTTTCATCTAAAAAAAAAAAAATCCAAACATCACGGGAGTTACATGTACCATATGCTCCCTCTTCCAACACAAACTTGACAAACACAGGGTGTGAAAACTGCGAATTCTCTTCACAGGATGCCCACACAGCCGTCATGAACAGCACACACCAGAGTTCCCAAGTACTACACACAAACATTATACACCAAATCTCCACAGAGACACTGTTTTCTCCTGTCAGTAGGTCCCAAGAATACACTTAAGTAGCCAACAGGTGCTTTTAAGCTTGTGTGAAAGGATTTTAAAGCGTTTAACAGTGAATTGTCTTAGTTTGATCTTAGTTATAAAACAAACTCCTCATTATTTCTCTCTGGTTGTATTGCACACTCAGATAAGTGCAGTCTCAGAGCCTGCCTGAACTGATTATTCCCTGTTACCTTGAAGCACTCACAGGCTGCCTGTGCTTCCAAGCACACAGAGCAGAACAAAATCTGAGGAAGAAGGTCAGGGCTGAAATCTCTCAGGCCATACCCAAGGGAGAGCAGCCCAAGGTCTTTGTGTTTTGCTCCCAGAAGCTCCTTTACCAAGTCACAAGCGACATTCAGATGAATCCAGCCAAGTTGTGTCATCTCCAGGTTAAAAATCCTGCCTTTGCAAGGCTCAGCGAGCTTACAAAACAAAGGTGTGGGGGTGGGAGTGGTGAAATCAGGGTCATTTGACTTCTCAAACAAGAGCAAGTTGCCAGGAACAATCCTGCCAGAGGCTAAGAGGGGACACAAGGGATTTGGGGCCATGTCACAGCCACATTGTGAGAGTTACACTACACACCAGCTCAAATAACAATCGTTGCTGAGCAGAGTCCCAGTGAAAGCACAAGTGGCTGGTAGAACAGTATCCCTGTTACACAGCAACTGTCACTTTGCAGCCCAAAAGGTGCCTCGTGCCCTGGACTGATCAATGCTGAAGCCTGGATCCTCACACATACTCTCCTAAAAGAGCTGGAAGAAGAAAGGAAGGCAGCAGGGAATCAGTCATACTTATGCAGTGATGATTTTTCACAAGAACAGATGTCCAAACTATGACTGTGCCTCAAAAAAGAAGATTTCTTGTGCACCTTTTCGGACAGGAACATCGATCTCTTTACAGCACAGTAATTTAGTTTGTTCCAGCAGAGGCACAATGCATCTACATGGCATTAGTGGTACCCAACAATTGCTAAACCACAACAGCAGAGTGTTCTCAGCCCTGTTCTCAGAGCTGTATCACGGACAGGAAGGAAGCTGGAAGCATTTCCAAGTTTTATTCTAGCGTGCTCGCAGACCAGATGAACCTCCAGGTCCTAAACACTCATTTTAAAAATAATTATTTTGCAAATGCAAAGTGAACAGGGAATTCCAAAGCTACCATACCAGCCACAGCCCTGCAGTGAAGCATTCTCAGAGAGGAGAGCAAGAAAATAAAATCACATTCAGACAGGTCCATGTTCCATCCACAAATTCCTGTCCATTTTCCAAGTGTCACTTCATTTCTGAGCCAAAGAGCTCTTCAGGAGACGTTCTCTTCTGACAGTTATATAGCCTTGGAAACGAGTTTCAAAGCTTTTTAGCCTGTATTGCCATGCTAAGCAGATTCTACCATGATTTAAGATGTCTCCAGGGTGGGCAGAGGGGAGGAGAGCTCTGGCTGAGCTGTGCTGCCTTTCCCAGTCACCAAACCCTGCCCCCTGAACAGACAGACCTCGGTGCTGCACGTTCGCAGCCAAGTTCAAGCACCATTCAAATGAGTCACAGCAGATGATCACCTTGAACAGCTAAATTCCATGCAAAGTGCTCATTTTGTTTCCAAGATGGTTTTTTTCAGAAGTATTTGGAAGGCATCCAGCCTGTTCCTCAGCACACTAGGGATACAAAGTTCTATGTGGGAGCGGAAGGGTTTTAAATCGACCACATCAGAGCTGTAAACTCTGGCGTTTTGTTCAACTTTAAAGAATAAAAAAAAGTTAGTAAAAATCTAACCAGCGACCAGGATGCCTTTTGGGACGTGAATTTCATGGAATTGCAGCCCAAGATTTATAAAGCTACATCCAAACATAGATTCTGTTATTTATCTATCATGCTGCGATAGACAAATAACATCACAGCTGTAAGGATGGCATTTTTTCCTGGAATGCTGAGCCCTGTAGACATCTGAAAGGCTGGGAGAGAACTGACAGACAGGAAAAATCTCTGCAACAACAAAAATGAGAACTAGTGTTTAAAAAATTAGAAAAACAGAACTAAGTGCACAGACTTCAGCTAAACTGGGAACTCAGAAACTCAACGGGCTTCACCCAGTCACAAATAATTCCTAAACTTACCAGTACTGCTGTAAGCAAGGGACAGCAGCAAAGCTGACAGCAGCAGAACCAGTGCTAAAGGAATGATTTGGCATTTGAAAGCAGAATCTAAGTAGATATATTTAATCTAGACAGATATATTCAACATAGCAAGGCCTCATCAAAACATCCAAGGTGGTAAGAGGTTAAGAATGGAGAATGGCATTAGAGAGGTCTTTTCCTTGCTGAAACATGAAAAGCAGACCCCAGTTTTCTGTCAGAGAGCTCTCAGAACAGCACATATTTTCCACTTGGTCAGTTTAATTAGCACAGCACCGGAAACATTCACTATTGTTTCCTGTCATTCACTCTGCACTGCATTCCTGCTTCCTCTCCCATTGTAATCCCATGTTTTCCTAGAGTACCCAGCTGGTGCAAAACACCCAGCCCAGCTCCAAGGGTAACACCAGTGCTGTGGGATGACCACAGAGGGAGAGGGACCAGGTGGCCAAAAGCTCTTCCAGCGCTGCACTGACCCTTGGCCTCAGAGGGGACGAGCAGAGTGTGGTGGCATCGAGGGCACAAACCCCATGTCTACAGGAGCACCCTCACTGTCACCACCTTGCACAGGCAGGGTCAAGCCAGAAGGGTGGTTTTCCACAGAAGACTTTCTTCCCCTTCCACCTTTTCATTAGAAGGAGAAGAGCCAAGAGCAAGAATTCTCACAGTGTTCATTACAGAACACAGTCATGTTCTGCCAGGACTCCTGTGCCAGGAACCTCTTGCTGTAACTAGAAAAGAAAAACCCCAAAACGGCCTGTTAAAAAGCTAAAAATAATAACAAAATAAAGAACGGAACATGAATAAGATGACTGATTAACGAAGATCACGAATAGTTAGAGAACGGGCATACAGCAACTGTGGAAAGAAAAAGCAACTCCCAAATGTGTGAATCACGTCTTTTGGATGGGAAGAGCAGGAAGCCCATCAGGGGCAAATGCAGCTCGAGACGTGGTAGAAAACCGGAATTTACATTATTTTCTCTCCCAGGTCTCCCACCAACCCGAAGGGAGGGAGGAACGTCCTTCACTCGCACACGCAGGAGCCGAGCACGCCGTGAGCATTTAAAAACGACACGGCAGCAAACGCAGCAAGGTGAGCGAGGTATCAACAGGTCTCCCGGGGGATCTGCGGCGGAGGGGGGGGACCTTTCCCGGGAGCCAAACCGGCCGCGGAGCCGCGGGGGGACCGAGGGGGGACACGGGGGCGGGGGCGGCCGGTCCCGGGGCCGCGGGGATGGGGCCGGGAGGCTGGAAGGGGAAGCCCGGCGGGAGGGAGGGCGGAGGAGCCGGAGGTCCTGCGGGCCCACGGCCGAGGAGCCCCCCGGGAGCGGCCCCGGCGCGGGCGGGGCGGCCTCACCCGGGCCGGGCCGGGCCTTGGGGCCTGAGCCGCCCGGGGGTCGGTACCTGGACGGGTTCCTGCAGCACCGTCATCCTGCTCTCCCCGGCCTCCGCCTCCTGGTCGCCGAGCCCGAGCGGGGGCGGTCCCGGTCGCGGCCCCGGTGCCGGCCCAGCTCAGAGCAAGTCCCGGCGGGGCCCGGCCCGGCCGCGGCTCATTTGAACCCGCACCGACCGTTACCGGAGCGAGCGAGGCCGGCGGGCGCCGAGTCCGCCCGAACCGGCGGCGGAAACACCCGAACGGCCCGCCGGAAATACCCGAAGGCGGGGGCGGAAAGAGCCGAGCGCCGACGGAAAACAGCTGGGAAAGCCGCGCTCGGCAGCGCTGCCGTGGCGGAGATGGCCGAGGCGGGCCGGAGATGGCCGAGTCTGGACGAAGATGGCCGAGGCGGGGCGGAGCCACCCGAGCCGGGGCGGAGATGGCCGAGTGGCAACGGAAATGGCCGAGCGTGAGGGGGCCGGTGAAGCTCCGGCAGGGCCTGGGGCTCGTCCCTCAGGGCCCCTTTGTGCCCACGGGATGTAGAAACTTGGACTTTGTGCCACAAAACGGGCTCTGGGGGTCTCCGGGTCTGTCGGGAGCCCCCGCGTCCCTCGCGGTGCTGGTCCCAGGGTTCCCTCCTGCCGTCGCTGGTGTGTCCTGAGGCAGCCCGGCCCTGTCCCCGTTCCCACTGGTGGGGCCAGCGCTGCCCAGGTCCTGTTCTGACGGGTCCTGAGGGAGCTTCAGCCACGATAGCACGGAATCATTCAGGTTGGAAAAGACCTCTGAGATCATCGAGCCCACCCTGTGCCCCATCCCCACCTTGTCCCCCAGCCCAGAGCACTCAGTGCCACGGCCAGACCTTCCCTGGACACCTCCAGGAATGGGGACTCCAAACCTCCCTGGGTAGCCCCTTCCAGTGCCTGACCACCCTTTCCAGGAAGAAATTCCTCTGATGTCCAGCCTGACCCTCCCCTGGCACAGCTTGAGGTCGTTCCCTCTCCTCCTGTCCCTTGTTCCCTGGGAGCAGAGCCCGACCCCCCCCCGGCTCCCCCCTCCTGTCAGGGAGTTGCAGAGCCAGAAGGTCCCCCCTGAGCCTCCTTTTCTCCAGGCTGAGCCCCCCCAGCTCCCTCAGCTGCTCCTGCTGCTCCAGCCCCTTCCCCAGCCCCCTTCCCTTCCTTGGACATGCTCCAGCCCCTCATATCCAAAAGTAAAAGATACAGATTGAGGTATGGGGACAAAGCGGTTGATTTGCCAATTACAATTTGGTTTGAAGGTGCCACGTCTCCTGGCACACAGAGCTTTCCCAAAAGAATGGGATAAAGATGCACAGCTAAGCCTCGAGTTATTAAAAATACCGACCTACCAATAGCCACCTGCAAGTAGCAGAGGCCTTCCTTCTCCAAATCCTTCTGTGGGCTTCCTGAAACACGATCAGCCACAACACCAGCCTTACACACACCTACACACGGACTCTGTGCTCCGTCCTGCTCTTCCCAGTGCTTTGCACTTGCACTCAGCTGCCTGAAGGCCGGATCCTGATGTGCAGCGGAACACACACGAGCAGGGCCTGCATCTTTACATGAGAATAAAATCCCTGTGTGGAGCAGGGAGGGCTCAGCCTGCCTCTTTCCCCTCGTCTCTGAAAGGTGTAGTTGTGTTTGTTATCGGCAGCAAATCTGCAGGTGTTTGCTTTCAGGGTGTGAGCAGGCAAAGCTTTCTTTGGTCCCCCACCTGAGACAAATAACGAGAGGGGCACAGAGCAGTGCTTTTCCCTGGGATGGACACCTGGCTCAGTGTCAGCTTGACCCGAGTCATTTTGCCAGACATGAGGGGGTGAGCAACAGGACAGTGAAGTGTCACCTCCCCAAAGGCCTTTGCTGATGATGATGATGATGGTGATGTGTGTGTACGTGGCCTGGGGCTTTGAGGAGCCTTTCAAGGATCACAGTTCATGTTCATCATCCTCCTCCTGGTCTCGTGCACTGCTGATAACTCCTGGGGATGAAAGCTGGCTCCGTCTGTCTCCCATTCCACAGGGCACAGAACTCCTGACATCCAGACCTTCTTTGGTATGAGAGTCTGTCTTATCACAGCCTGAGGAGATACAGACTCTCTTGAGAGTGCTTCTCCTCAGAGTCCCCTGGATGCTGTAAAGCATCCAAACTGTAAAAGGTCAGTGTTTGCTGTTGTCTTTGGAGATCTGGATTTACAGAGACTCCTCCAGTGCAGGTCTGCCTGTGGGATCACTCATTGGCATCCACAGAAGCTTTTATAAATGTCTGTGGGACTAAAACCACTCGCTCTGTGGAATCCTCAGCTTTTCCAGAGGAGGAGAGGAGCAGCTTTTCCAGGGGAGGAGGCATGGAGGCACATTTAGAGGTGGAGAGGTACAGACATATATACTGTGCCTGTTCAGGTGCATCAATCCAACCTGCTTTGCTACAAACCAGCTCTGCTTCATCCTAAAGAGGCAGAGCAGGTGCCCAAAGTGAAGCACAGCAGGCTCTTACCCCGAGGGTGCCTCAAGGGCTGGATTTTTCACGTAGAAAACTACATTTTCCTGTAGTTCTGTCATTTCCCACTGCTCTCTTTCTGTCTGTCTCTTTGCAGGTCTCACTTTGGTTTTAATTTAGTGTCACTGCTGTCAGCACAGGAGCTGGAGGTTTTAAATCCAGAGCCTGTGCCCTGCATAGAGGAGTGAGAGTGCAGCCTTTTGGCTTGGCAGGGCAGGGATATCATGGCTCTAGCAGGGATATCACAGCTCTAGTAGGGATATCATGGCTCTAGCAGGGATATCACAGCTATATAGTAGGGATGTCATGGCTCTCACAGGGATATCACAGCTCTAGTAGGGATGTCATGGCTCTAGCAGGAATATCACAGCTATGGTAGGGATATCATGGCTCTAGCAGGGATATCACAGCTATAGTAGGTATATCACAGCTATAGCAGGGATATTGCAGCTCCAGAGCCCCCAGTCCTTGCTGTGGATTTCCTCTGTGAGTCCAGGAAGGTCTCTGCCTCTCCCCTGCTCATTCCTCTCCACCACAGCACGTTCCTCTGCAGGAGTCGATGCCACAGCGGTGACAAGGACAAACGTGACCCCAGAGCAAGCAGGGTCCCTTCTCCCCCCATCACCACAGTCCTTTAAGAGGTTAAAACACTGGATAGTACATTAAAGACACGAGGTGCCCAGATCCTGCCTAATGGGAGCTGTAGGAATAGCACAGAGAGGAGCTCAAATCTAATCTTGCATCTATAAACAGCTTATGTTGCTTTTTATGAGCAGTTGAATCAAACAGTGGGAATTGAAAGCAGCTGTTCCTCAGTGACTGCGCAGGAACGAGCGAGTGGCAGCTGAAGTCAACCACGTCGGAGCAAAACGCCTTCCATTTCCAGGCAAAGTCAGAGGGAGGGCGTTGGAAAAAGGGACAAATCAAAGGAAAGTGTTTTCTGCTCCCAGGTGTTGTTGTGCTGCCATGAATTATTCACCGCCTGTGGTGATGCTCTGATGGTTGTTTTGCAGGTAGGAAGAGGGAGAGAGTCCCCAGCTTGTATCACACAGCCCCCACCTGGCTCCTGGAAGAGAGGAACCATCCAGGGAGCCCATCCTGGCCGGGCTCCATCCCAGGCAAGTCACCACCTGCACCCCAGGGACCTCACCCCGTGCCATGAGGGTGGAGGTGGCACCTGGCCCAGAAATATCTGTTATTTCCCCATTTTTCTTCTCCCTTGCTGATTCATCAAGACTCAATTTCCAGGAAACCTTCAAAACTAGACTTTTGGATCTGTCCATGATGCAGAAGAAAGAATGTTTTTGATGTTTTATCTGATGTTTTGGGGTTTTTAAGGGCCTTTTCGGGCTGGGACAGGCAGTGTGTTGATGAAGGAGAGGTGCCTGCGGGTCTCTCCTGTGACAGGGACAGGACCAAGCAGGTCCCTCTTTGCTCCATGGTGCTGTTCAGCCTGGACCTGGAGGGAATGCTCATGGGGTAGCAAGGGCTACAGGTTTGAAAAAGGACTGATTTAAGGGCAGAGAGGAGGTGAAGACCCTCCCAAAAACAGGGCGTCTGTTTGATGCAACATGCCCCTCATGCTCTCATTGCTCCAGGTCTGCATCAGCAGGAGGTGGCCAGGCCCATGCCAAGGGTGGGGTGATGATCCTCACCCCCGTGTCTGAACTCTTCCCTCACATTCCCTGCCTCTTCTCCCTCTCCATGGGAATATCCTGTTACCCCTGAGAGCTGCTGGGGTCTCCTCCACCCACCACATCCACGAGTTGCCCAAAGCCAAAGCAGCCAAACCACGTCAGGGAGGAGGGAATTCCTTTAATGAGCCAAACATCGCAGGGAAAACCTGAAAAGAATAACTTAAGGTTTCAAACCAAGTTGCAGGTGTCTTATTTAATACCAGGCTTAGGCACACACACGGAGACCAAGGAGTGGTGGCTCACGTGGAAACATCCCATGGAAAGGACCCGGATGGAGGAATCTCGCTCTTCCTGGTGCTCAGATGGGTTCAAACTTTTCCAAGAGCCTGGGAGACAAGCAGGAAAGGGCTCAATGCAATGAGTTTGTGTGAGAGTGCTCCTTCCCAGATAAACCCAAAATGTCAACAGCTGTCATTCCATACCATTAAAAAAGAGTTTCATGTGCAAATAGTTTGGTGAAGAATTAAATCTGGCAGGGTTTGCCACCCAACCATCTCTGTTGCTGAGCTGATGAACAGAAACTGGAGAGAAATGGATTAAAAAGAAAATAAAAAGGATGCTGAACATTCAAAGTTCAGACTTCTGTCTGTGTCTGTTTTAATCTTCTGATGTTTAAAGAGATGGGGGGAGATTTTTAAATGTTTAACTTGTGTATTTAGTAGCATCTGAAGGTCATTTTTATGACTTTTTTTTTCCTGCTGCTTCATACAGCTGAGGGGAGGAGAAATGTTTAAGGAAAGTAAATAGATAACAAACCATAAGAAATTGGCAGGGGAGCCAGCAATTTGGATTTTCTTTTAAATTGAATAGATTTCAGAGGGATAATTCACTCTAAAAGAAACCTCTTTCTCTGTTTTCCTTAGGCAGACTTATAGGAACACAAAAAAGCTTCACAAGCATCCACGGTACATTTTCCATATTCTTTCTAATGTCAATAGGAATGTTGATATTTCTCAGTTCAGAAATTCCCTCTCTAAGTACTTCGTATTTTCTTAACATCGAGTCATTCACTGCTGCAGGTCTTAAAATATTTATTCCCACTGGCTGTTGTTGATGACCCCCTTAGCTCCTGGTGGGTTAGAAAATGTAGCACCATAAACCACCCCAACCTCTTTCTTTCCTCTTTCTTTTCCACCTCAACCTCTTCCAACGCAATTACCCAGACCACAACTGACCAGCACGGGAGTGATTTCATCCCAATAAATTCTGATTGGCAGGAGTAACAAATGAGATTCCTTATCATCAGCACAGCTTTTTGTGCCTCCAGAGCTGGGATTATTCCCGTGGCATCAATCCACTGCAGGTTTGGGTTTTGGTTCCTCTGCCCCTGGCTGTTCCATGCAGGATTTCCAATCTTGGAGGAAGCAGCAGGAGACCCCGTGAACTCACCTGAAGTTTTTCCTTTCAGCCAGACATGATGTGCTTGACAAAAGCTGAGGAGAAATGAGGGTGTGAGAGGTCAGAGGATGGTGTGAGCTGGGGGAGGGGGTGGAGGGGCAGCAGGGGGGACCCCCAGCTGGAACACCCCAGAATGCCAGGATTGATATTCCTTCTTCTGTCCCCACTTTTTACATGCCACCCCCAACCTGGTTAGAGTGATCCCAACCCTTGGAGATGAGCTGGTACCGTTATCCCCAGTTTTCTGAGGCCGAGGGAAAAGGGTCCCCTCTTTTCCTCAGCGCTCTCCAATTTTAGTGGTTCCCAAATTTAACCACCCCCTATTCCACATTTTCACCCGCTTGGAGCCACGAGTGATCCAGGTCTCCAAATGTTCCCAATTAGCCTCTGCTGTGAAAGATGCTGGCTTTGTTTATTTTTGATAGCTTACAACAAAACAGTGCCAAAACCAGGGATAAAACAGTCCCGAAACCCTTGGAAACATGCTGCCTTCAGCTGCTTTTCCTGGAAATCACTGGCACAACCATCTTGTTCCCATCCCAGCTGACTTGTCTCAGTGCTCTTTTAGGAAGGGCTTTGGAGGGTGGTCCACACTTCCCTCCTAGTAATCAGCAATGTCATAGAATTCATGGAATCATTAAGGTTGGAAAAGACTTCTAAGATCGTTGAGTCCAACTGAAATTTTCATCCTAAGACAAGACAACTGTGCCTGAGATGGTCCCGATGGGAATCTCCCACTCTTACCTTCATAGTTGATACAGCCATTGGCATCTTCCTGCCCTGCCATGAGCTGCTCCACCTCACTTTCCGTCATCTTCTCCCCTGGAAGAGGAGGATGGAGAGGTGAGGGGAAGGATTCTCAGCCTGCCAGGACCTTCCCATCCTTATTCCAGAGAGCCAAAGCCACCAGAGGAGAGGAACTGGGCTGGATTTTTCACGTAGAAAACTACATTTTCCTGTAGTTCTGTCATTTCCCACTGCTCTCTTTCTGTCTGTCTCTTTGCAGGTCTCACTTTGGTTTTAATTTAGTGTCACTGCTGTCAGCACAGGAGCTGGAGGTTTTAAATCCAGAGCCTGTGCCCTGCATAGAGGAGTGAGAGTGCAGCCTTTTGGCTTGCCAGGGCAGGGATATCATGGCTCTAGCAGGGATATCACAGCTCTAGTAGGGATATCACAGCTCTAGTAGGGATATCATGGCTCTAGCAGGGATATCACAGCCCAGGGGATTAGAGAGGAGCTGTGTGCCCACAGACAGGTGGGAGATTGTGGAGAGAGGACCAAGCTGCAAAATGTTGTCTGATAACTGAGGATGTTCTGGACTCTCCACCTCCCCTGGGTCATGCCCGAAAGCTGCGGCATAAGATGGGAAAGGCCCCAGAGTCAGGAGCCATTGGCTCCTACGAGAGCCTGTGAGCAGCAGGGTGAGAAGGGTCTCTGTGACATGAGAGCAGCCACTTGCCCAGGGAGAGCTGGGGGTGGCCCTGCCCTGCTGCCCTCCCGGGCCAGCCCGTACCCAGCGTGACCAGCACGTGGCGCAGCTCAGCCCCCATCACCATCCCATTGCCCTCCTTGTCGAAGACGCGCAGCCCTTCCACAAAGTCCTCGAAGGTGCCCTGCTCCTTGTTGCGGGTGAAGTGCTGCAGGATGGGCAGGAAGGTCTCGAAGTCCAGCATCTTTGTGTTCATTTCTGGAAGGGGAAGGAGAGGAGATGGGGTCGGAGGTACATTTATGTCACGGGATGTTCTGAGTTGGAAGGGACCCACGAGGATCATCGAGTTCCACTCCTACGTGAATGGCCCACACAGGGATCAAACCCACAACCTTGGCGTTGTAAACACCAGGTTCTGAGGCTGAACTCAGCCTCTGAGGGCCTCCTGCTTAACCCTCCCGGGCTCTTTTCCATCAGAGTACAGGGGAGAAGCCCCACGAGGAGATGGAACTATTCTGTTATACTTGAGATTGGAAGATCCATATGAGGAATAAGGTATTAACATCAGGGGACTGCACAAACACCCCTGATATCAGCCCAAAATTAAAGCAGCAGGCGGGGCCTCTCTCACCAGGGCTCTATGGCCACACTGGGACTGGTCAGGTTACACCAGTTTGTACCAGTTCAGGATAAGGTCTGCTAAGCATCATTAGCCACCATCCCTGGGTGAGCACCGCCTATCCCTCATGTCAGCCGTGGCATGGGGAAGGGGAGTGAAGGAATTGCACAGGAGTGAAGCCCGTCTGCATAATTTCCTTCCCAATTCCTTCACCTTGCCGGGCTGTTCACTACAGGGAACATATGCTCTACTTGCAGCCAGGGAGCTCAGGGATTGTTTGTCTCACCCTGTCCCCAGTTTGCTCTCACCTTCTGGTTTGGGCTTGCCCAGCACCTTCAGGACCTCTGCGTTGGTGGGGTTGTGGCCGAGCGCCCGGAGCACGTCCCCGCACTGCCCGTAGCTGATCTGCATCGTCCCCGCGGGCGTCCGGTCAAACAGCCCGAAGGCTTCTCTGAACTCTGCGGGGAGGAAGCGCTGCGATGTCCCCGGCTGTGCCCGCCCCAGCTCCCACCCCACCGAAGCCAGTCCTGCCTGGCGGGCAGGGAAGGGGTGGACACATGCGGGGTGGGTGCCCTCTGAACGCTGGGTGAGCTTGAGCAACGCGGGCTGGAGGCTGCCAGGCTCCTCGGAGGAGTCGCTCAGCTGCTCGAGCAGGTTTTGTCACCCGTGCAGAGCTGGCTGGGTGACCTGCTGGATGCCTGCACCCGTGGCAGCAGGCTCTGCTGCAGGACATCCCTGCTCATCCCCTTTTCCATTGGGATCTCCCCTCTCTGGGGCTGTCCCTGCATCTCTGGAGGTTGCTCCTCCCACCAGAACCCCTGACTTTGACCCAGGCTGCATCTTACGCCCTGAATGAAAATTACCCTTTCCCTGCCAGGCTCTGGACCCTGCTGGGCTTTCCCCCAGGAGGGGATTTGGTGTGTGGGGCCCTGGCTCTCATGTCTGTGGTGAAAAACTACCTGGAAAGGGGATTCCCCATTTCTAAAGCCATCTCTGGGAGAAGCTGAGCTCGGCACTTACCTTCGATCTGCTCGGCTGTGAATTCAATCTGTGAAGAGAAGGGAACAGAGCTGGGCATGAGGGGGGTGTTACTGCCGGGGGAACGAAGGGGCTCTGCCATCTCTTTGGATCTCTCCCTCCCCGGGCTCGGGGCAGGAGCTGTATCCATGCCGTGTCCAGACACACCATGCCCAGGAGCCCTTGCTGCTGGACTGAGATCCCTGTGGAAAGCACAGCCAGCAGCAGGGCGGGGGGGGTGGGGGGGCAGGCAGGAGGGATGCTCAGACCAGAGTAAGGGCTATTTTGAGTGGAAAGGATGTTATTTTTAAGGCCTGATCCCTAGTTCAAGTGATTAAACAGCCTCCGTGCTGAGCCTGCTCTTAATGACTCTCCTGCCACAGCTCCGGCTCAAAAATGTGACTGTCCCGGGGAATCACGGAGAAAGCAACTCCCGTTGTGGGGACTTGGATAAAAGAGGCTCTTACGTGGAGGAGGCAACACAGGCAACAAAATACTTTAGGATGGAGACGGTGGGTGGCAGAGAAGGTTTTTATTGCTGCTGGGGCCCCGACACGGAGTCTCAGCAGGAGCTGTGGGGGTTTGGCTGCACGGCCGGAGCTCTGGGAGCAGCAAATCCACAGCGGGTCCCTCCGGTGAGCGCCGGGCGGGGCTGGGTGGGGAAGACTAAAACATCCCCCCGGTGAGAGGAGCATCGCTCCCAGCCTGCTGCATCCACACGGTCCGGCAGTTTTCCCCTCCCAAGCCTGGCTCCCAGCCTGGCTGACGCCTTTTGTGCGGCGCTTTGCATCGCCCGTGCCTGGCGGATGACGGGCATGGAGGAAGACGGTGACGTCTTCGTTCCTCACTCACCTTCACGCTCTTGGGATCGAAGGCAGGCTCCCGCTCCGAGCCTGCTTTGGCCGATTCCTTCTTGGGGTCGGGTTTCTTGAGCGGCATCGCCGGGATTTGCGGAGGTGCAGGGGGACTCCTGCCGCCCAGCGAGGGAAGGGAACGGAGGGATGAAAGGGAAAGGCTGCTCCTTCCCTTATATACGGACCCCAGTCCTCACCCCGGAGGGGCAGGCCAGCTGCTGGAGCAACTGCTACTTACTATAAAAGGAAGAAAAC